ATAGAAAATCTTTGCTCAAACGTTCCCTGAAGGGAACTGATACGATGACAAGACAATGGATGTGAGTTGATGTGTTAACTGAAAACACTATCTTTTAAGAGTTTTTCAGGCATGTTCTGAACAATGAATATGGAGATAAAACACTTGTATTATTACATATGTGAATATTTTCTTGAAGATATATGAGATTAATATCAACATGTACCAATCGAATCACACTTGATGGAGAAGATTTGAAAGATGTAAAAACCTTTACACATCTGGGCAGCATCATTGATGAGCACAATCGATTTGATGCAGATGTGAAGGAGAGTATCTGGAAACCAAGAGCATCAAATGTACAATTGAAGAACATCTAGAACTCAAAACAAATTGTCAACCAACACAAGTCACAATTTTCAATACAAATGTCAAAACAGTTCTACTGTATGTAATGGAAACTTGGAGAACTACGAAAGTCAACATCCAAAAGATAAAAGTGTTTATTAACAGTTGTCTATGTAAAATACTTCGAATCCGTTGGTCAGACACTATAAACAACAACCTACTCTGGGAGAGGACAAAACCAGATTCCAGTGGAGGAAGAAATCGGAATGAAGCGCTGGAAGTGAATAGGACACACATTGATTAAAGCGTCCAACTGCATCACAAAACAATACCTCACATGAAATTGTCAAGGTCGAAGGAGAAGAGGAAGACCAAAGCACACATAACACTGAAAAATGGAGACAGGCATGAGAAGACTGAACAACAATTGGATGGAACTAGAAAGGAAGGCGGAGTACAGAGTGGGTTAGAGAATGCTGGTCGGCGGCTTATTCTCTATAGGGGGTAATAGGCGTAAGTAAGTAATTAAGTATATGAGATTAATACACCTCAAAACTTTTTCAAATTGACGTTTTACAATCTCAATTCGTGTATTTATCTTGAACAGACTATGTATAGAACGGATATTACAAAAGAATAGAACAAGCATGAACATCAAAACTCTACATGTTTTATAAATCGAAACGAACAAAATTCAGTAGTAAAGATTCCTAAGATCAAAACCTATTACATTAGGAAAAAAGTAAATTAACAGAAGCGAATACATGCGTCGGCTCTCTCCCCCCCACACACACACACATGCACGAGCACATACGCACACGCAGTAACACACGCATTTCATGGTTGCAAAAGAAAAACATAATTTTCGTATGGCAAAGAAACATACATTATCATCCAAATTGAGCTAGAAATGTAAAGAAAAAAACAGTTTACACAATTTATTAATAATTCCAAAATTTGATCATGAATATTGTCATCATAAATGGATTGGAGTTAGCAATGTTACCTCATTAAAAGTACACGCGCGCATACACATTATTACATAACACATCTCGTAATTGTGTTAGAGTGCAAGCTTGAAGAGGTTAACAAGCTAATTCACTGATAGAGATCATGAACCGACTGATGTTAGACCATTATTGAAAACCTGTAATCACTGGATGACCATTTCGTCCTATTGTGGAACTCCTCAGAAGTGCACGACCACGACCTCATCTCGTGGGATTCGAACATCGGGCCTTCTGTGTCACACGCAAACGTTTAACTTCAAGACCACTGAGCCGGTATTCAATGGTATTAATGTCTAACTTCAACCAATCTCCAAAATTGTGCGACCATCTTCCATTGTACTGTCTTTACCCGATACGGGTTAGCTTCACTGATCACAGCTTCTTACTAGAACTCCGAGAATTCCTTCATGAATGATTTCAGGTTTTCAATGGTGTTCTAACATCAATCAGTTTATGATCTCAATCAAAAACTTAATAATCTTTACAACCCCATACTAATAATTCATTGATAGTTGGATATTGAAATCGAATGATTATAATTCCAGTTTTACAAATTAGTTGGTTGATGATTGTCCTGGATCTTAAGTTTTTAAATTAGATTCCTGTTTGTAGATAGTTTTAAACCATTTACAGTTTTATACTTTCTAGAAAATAACTGGACAGTAATCATGAACCATTAAACGACTATCCTATACATTGTTGCTTCTATAAACACATTCATCCATTATGATCTGATCGCTACCTTCTTCAGTTAGCTGAATAAGTATTGATACAGTTTCAGTATTCTAATCCCAGTCATTATTCATAAGAAGGTTTGTTTAATAAAAACAAAATGACATTAAAGTTTACTTCTGAACAAAACACAAACTTATCATCAGATTGTGCATAAGTGTATGTGAAATTGTTTGTTTTCTTTTCGAAAGGTAAGTAGGTGGGAGTTAAGGTAAACAGAGAAAATGTGAAATTTCGGCAATACTTGGCAACAAATTACAAACCTAAACAAGAATAGTGCGCAAATATACACACACACACACGTAGAGAGATACAGAGAGAAAAAGAGAGTGGAAAGTGAATCCGAGGAATTTTTGAACATACATTATCAAACACACTTTGTTTCTAACATCAACATACTTAACAAACACATTGGTAACAAGTGTAAACAGCTTAAACAATTGCTCATTAACAAATATTTAGTGAGAGAAAAATAAGATAGAAATAAATGCTTATGGGGGAGGGGAAGAGACAATTAACAAACCGTCGTTTTAAGAATGTTGTTATCTTTTCGAACCTAAAAGACATAAGTGTATTTATTGTTCAGTTAAGAAGTCAACTGTAAATTAATCACAAGCTTTAAGGTATTTATGAAGGAAAACAAAGAAAAGATTCATCAAATTGTAGATTTAACATTAATAAATTACTAACCCTTACTTTCAGTTTGAATAATTTTTTCTGGCTAGCATTTTTTGGTGAGTTAGTTTCCTATGGGATGGGGGTCACTAATCCCAAGTACAATGCTCCTCCTTTATCTGGGCTTAGGAATGGCATTAGCCCCAAAGGGGGGGAGTGCTCAAGGCGGAACCTCAATTATATGGAAAAGTACTGTAGATTACAATCCTCATATTTCTAAAAACCTTGTATGAAAGCTTCTTTATTATTTTTGAAGTGAATGTTATAGATGGATAAAATTACCAATGTAATACCACATATATCGGCTGAAATAATTCAGTTTACAACAGTACAGTATTGTTGATGGGGACAATTTAAGTAGTATGAAACTCCTGCATTATGCATGTAAGTTATTCTAATTTAGTATGCAAAATGTGTTGATTACACAAATTCATGAAGTGAAATCAACGAAGTATTCACACTTTCGACGATTATAATGTTTTTATGCACACATTAATATTCAGGTACTACTGTATATTTAGATTGAAGCTTATCATATTATCAAGACAGGCTCCAAATGCTCTGATAAGACCGGCGGTGGGATGAGTTAAATCTCCCTCTCTAAATGCTCTCACATGGCTACGTGTATAAAACCACTGTCAGGGAAGTGTTACTCACTGCCTTCCCGAGGCATTACTGTTGTTTACGAGATTCAGAAGACGAAAATCGAGTGTCCGACGCTTCAACCGTGTAGGTGGGTCCATCTAGGAGAGATGAGAAACCCTAATTCCAAACGAATGGAGCACATGGGCTCCAGTATCTTGAAGGAACAATTGGCGTATGAACCAATTTTTGGTGACCGGCTACCATGGGATTGCATCTCCTGACGTTGCCCCACTTTCTTGTGGATCACACCTTTAAGTCGAAGGCTCCGGGATGTGGCCCCCTAAGTAAACCACCTGCTTCGGTCTGGACACCTGAGTAGTATCGTAGCCTACAAACAAATCAAGTGATCTGTGTGGTGCATATGTATTCGGTAGTCCTTTGTATCAATATTCATGTGTTCAAATAAAGAAATATAGATCTTATTGATCAGTCAGTTCGTCATAAATTGTTCCAATTGCTTGAAGAATTCCTGAAGGATTCTTTCTTCAATCATCTGATTTGAGGCTATTAATTCACTCATTAAAAAAGAATAGTATTGTACAAATAACAAAAATATTGTCTCAGGAATTAAAAGTAACTTACCTTTAAGAATATTTTAAAAATATTAGACGAACTTCTAGACCGGTAGCTATTCATCATACTGATATCTACTCTTCCGTCAAATTATATTCACAAACAAACAATCTTCTTTCTATTTTCATACATTTTAACTTAATTCAAGTCACATACACATCATATGACACTCTGAAAGTAAATGTTTCTTTACAAATTAATTTCAGGTAGAAAACCTCTCAACAGTGCATATTCATAGCTCTATAAAAGCATTCATACCTCAAGGATATTACAGTCAGTCAGCTACAACGTAGGATCAGGCACATATATGCATCGATTCAAGTTGCCATACTTCATGAGCTACCTTAAAGTGGTGGTCGGGCTTGCCTATCATGAAGAACCAATCCAGCTATACTGGCTGGAACAATCGTTCCTCAAGGTCCCACCATGCCAGATAGGTTTGTCGAAGAGCGGTAGGACTAAAAGCAGCAAACCCAAGGTTCGAAGGCGAAGTTGTACTTTGACTGCACAGACGTGTGACGGCAGTAAGGTGTTTCCTTCAGACAACCAGTATAACAGCGAGGCCGCCTTCCCACAAGGAGGGATGGGGTTAGGAAAAGTTGACCCTAAAAATCCACACCTCACCTTATCCCATGGATTTCTGTCTCAACAAGTGCAGAACTAGCACGAAAATTACACAAAAAAGGTCGTGTGTGGCTGACCTCAAGCAAATGTCCCTTGGGCACTGTGGTCACGACCTTAGGTCACTAAGACCACCTCTAATCCAATTTCCTTTACAGATACCTTCAGAAGAACCCTTCCACGCTGTGAACACCCGGGAAGTGATAACCGCCCTCACACCTCCACAAGCACTCAAAACCAATTTATTCATATTACCGTACTACTGAATCCCGGATTAGAGTGTTGAATTTTCGAGCACTAACCGATTGTAATGTTAATTTGACTTTATGATAAATCATAAACTATCAAAAAAGCTTCAACATTTACTTAACCGATGATAATCAATGTACACAAATATTATTTTCTTCATTATTTTTTCTCAGGCAATTGTCTTAAAAACGAATATTACAAACAAATCTGCATAGTAATTTTATAGTTGAATTCATGAGTCCATTGAACCTAGACCATCATGGAAAACTTGAAAGCACTGAACGACCGTTTCGTCCTAGTGTGAGACTCATCAGCAGTGGATATCCATGATTTCAACTTTGCAAGATTTGAACCTACATAGCTTAAACACATCAAATTCTTAATCATATAGCGTCTATTATTTTGTCAAGTTAACATGATTGGTTTCTAAATGGGAGAAAAGAATACTAAGAATGACAACGATCCATGTGTAACATCAGTTAATTTTACGTGCATTACAATATGCAAACATTCAACCTTCAAAGTGTATTCCAACTGATAGTATATAGAATTAGTTACTTGTCTTTGAGGTAATGATCATAATTAACCAGTGGATTAAATGAAATCATTCGAGTTACTATTCAAAATAGAATTGAACTTATGATCAAATCAAAAGAATAAACAAATCAGTAGCTGTGTATTCGGACGGAGCTCAGAGACATTCACTTGTTACTTGACAATCTCTTTACCATATCAAAATGGAATAATCAAAACATCAAGAGTGTTGTATTTTAGTGAACAAGAACACAAGTAGGGACAATCGAATGTATTTCAACACCAAACTTACAGAACATCTCTGTAAAATCTGAGAACCATATAGTAAATACTTCATTTGTAAAATGTCAATCAATTGTCTCAAACTTCCTTGTTCCTTCATTTCTACACCAATCATTCACTGTTGTTAGTCTCTTTTCTTCAATCTTATTAACTTTCTACCGCCAGGCATTTCACTTTCAACTGATGACACATACTACATATATTTGTCGATATCAGTAGCATACACCAGTGTATGAATTACATACAAACAATTTGGATATCGGTTCATACTATTTCTAAACTCATTACTTTTATTCATTGTTTTTAGTATCATATAAAACCCGATAATTGATCCGTTTTAGACGTAGTGAAAACTATTTCACTGGAAATCCTATCGCGAAAGTGATGGTTTTCAGTTAAACGTAAGATGTAAACATTTCCTGTTCAACTTAAGCACATGAAAACTCTTTGGTCAGAGACATTTATATCGTTTAAAACATAGTCGAATATTCAACTACAATAGAATCGTCATCTTTATCATCAATAAACAGCTTCCCGTTGTATTCCTAGTTGGTCTTACATCATGCACAAGTAAACTGAAACGAATCTGAATTGTATAAGCTAGAACTGTTAACCGGATGTCTAAACAAACATTCATTCGAAAACTGTAAATAGTTGTAAGATATTATTAAGTTAATTGTTTTTTCATTGTTTGGAAGATCACAGGGGGCTCCAACCAGGAATTCGCTTACGACCTCCACCTCTCATTACTTTTACACTACAATATGCGAATACATACGAATTGCATACATTTTCAATATTAGTCAATCATTATTATTAATGTCTCGTGTGAATTATTTGCAGACAGTTCAATAAACAAGCAAAATATAATTAACAATGCATCAGTTCATTCGAACCTCACGAGACAGGATTATGGATGCGCACTGCTGAGGAGTCCCACAATAGGACGAAACACCCAACCATAGCTTTCAGGTTTTCCATGATGATCTAGCTTCAACTGACTCATGACCTCAAGTATTAAAATTACGAATAATAAATTTCGTCAATACGTACTAAAAACAAACCTGTTTTACAACAACAACAACAACAACAAAAACTGTACAATCCAGTATGATTTTAATAGAAAATTGTATTACTTACTGTCGGTTCAGTTTCACCAATCTCTTCATCTAGTTCACTGAAGTTAAAAGAATTCATTAATTAAACAAGAAATAAAATATTTGTCAGTAAGTAAATATGGATGAACGATAATCCAATAGTCTTACACTTTGACTTTTACCAACTTACGTCACCTATGCCGAAGGCGAGATATCCGCCCATCAATTAAGGGACGAGTATATTGCGCGGCAGGTCATTCTGTCCTACTTCACGGCTGCGAAATGTGACCATTAAGAGTAGGAGATACTCGTAAGCTTTTAGTATTTGATCACATGTGTCTTAAAAATGTTGCCAGCATCTATTAGGATCATCGGGTGAGTAGTAGTGAGCTTAGATGCAGGATATTAGGGAATGATGGTAAATCAGTTGATGAGGTTGTAAATATTCATCGACTGAGGTTACCAAGACGTCCAACGCTCACTAGTGTTGGGGATGGTTGGAAGAAAGTTAAGGGCGGTCAAACCAAAATGTGGTAAAGGTTCTTGAAGTCACTAACTTCTAGTCTCAGCCATGTTGGAAGATGTAAACTACTTGGTTGAGGTCTGTGTCGCTATCGTAACCAATGGTTGGAGACTGTGTGTGACATGGCTCAGAACCGATCACAATAGTGTCGGCGCATGCACTATTTGACTTCTCTTAAACAATGAGGTTAAAATCGCTTTATGCCATTCTTTCTACTAACTAATTCTTTCTTTCTGTATCATATCCTTATACACAATCTGTCTTTTATAAATTACTACCATTGAATTGACTACTTCTATGAATTTGTTGTTTATCTTGTTGGGCTGATGAGTGAGGGGTCTTAACTTGGACCGATGCATATGTGTCTGGTCCTACGTTGTAGCTGACTGACTGAAACTTCGTAGGATATTTTTCCATTTCTTCATGAATTAACTTTTTTTAACCGTGAATACTTCTTTTTAGACTATTTTATTTCTTATAGTTAGACAGCTACTGAAAACTAGGGAGTACTTGACAGCTTTTTTTGTCTTAGTATGTGATTCATCAGTAGTAGGCAACTACGACATAACCGGGGACGAGAGTCAGAATTTTTAAGTCTCACAACGAACGATTAACACTTAGACCACTGAGTTGGCTTTCAATTGCTTGCATTGCTTACTCCAACAAAATTGAGACTTTTAGCAACCATTTAATACCAATGACGAGTCGTCAGTGTGTATAATTGAGAAGTTTTATACTATAATGAAACAGCTGTTCACTGGCTTCAATAATTGTGTAAGTACGATCCTTTCGTCATGAAAACTATAAAACTCAACATTCAGTAGATGAGCTTTCATCGATGAATGCTTCTGCTTCAGTAGTAAATGTTATTTTAAAAGATATTTCGATGCCAATTTCTCAAAATATTGCCTGTTACAATCTAAATAGTATCGGATAATGATTGAGTTCGAAATATATGAATCAAGCATTAAATTTCAATTTTCGACTTTTACGGCAACTCCAAATTATTCGAATAAACGGCTAGTTTAATACTCCATAGCCCTTTTATTTATTCTATTATTGATTTAGCAAGACAATTAAAGGTAAGTATATCTAGCGAGAGAAGATGGATATGTACCATATACACCATATATAACTGACTGGGTTTTTTCTGATCATAAATAACTTAGGGGCAGTTTATATTTATTTACGTGGTTTTGCTCCACGAACCGAATTTAGTCAGACTACCATTGAAACTCAGGAGATAGTTGACAACGATTCCATCTTCCTGTGGGTCTCCCAAGAGGTCCACACTCACAACCTCTTACGTCCTCTACTTGACTACGGCAGAATACGATATGTGACTAACGGCACTTGAACGTGTAGAACCCTACAGTCGCAGAGCAGGAGAAGTAAGAAGTAGTGAAAGTGACCACTGGTTAATAATCAAAGGTTTATTGGCTATAACATCATTATAATTCAACTAATGCTTAAGGAGGGAAGTTATGCTATTGTCCAATAATAGAGTGCCACATTGATACTCTAGAAGGCTCTATCAGGTTCTGATTCGACGAAATCTCTTCGGCTCCGTTAGAGCCTCTGGAGGCTTCGTCGTGCTTTTCGAAGCCGTCCCAACACAGCCCACCATGGGTTCATGTACAGTACACTCAGGCCTCATAGATGGTAGCTAACCCTCACACTTCTGACTTTAGATCCAGTTAATTCGCGGAATTACGAGATCATCAGCTTATGTCACCAGTAACAGACACTTCATCCCAGACATGTGAGAACTCCACTGACCAAAATTTTTCACTAGAACTCCAAGAATTTTAAAACTAACCATATTAACGAAAGCTAACGCGTTTGCTATAGAACTTATGGTTCTAAGTTTAGGATAAATGTAGATTATGAAAGAACATCTTTAAACAGTATACAAAAACACAACAAAGTGACTTACTGAGTTGTACGTGGTTTTTCTGAGAATATACGTAGCATAAAATCAGCCTCTTCATTTGGTTGAAATGTTGACGGAATAATTGCATAACGTCCTGTATCTAATCTATGTCGTCCACAAACTTCACGTAGATTAATAAACGCTGGTGAACGTGCAACTGATGCATTGTATTTGAAAAATTTCATATCCAGTGTACCTTGATGCTGTTCAGGTAACTAAATAATTTTTTTAAAGTAAGCTACAACATATAATGTGTCCAAAATGTACATGTATATTTAAATAAATATGTACAGCTGATCGGTCGCTGAGTTGTGACCAATGTCATATTTGTCTAGGTCCTTCAGTAATGACTGAATCCTACTAGACAAGGCATCGTGTGGACTATGTTTTTATGTTAGATGGTTAGAAGAAATCAGCGGAAAACTTTGAATATAAGTTTCATACTATTCAGTACTCATCAGTAACGTATTGATCGGTGATTTACTTATATCAAGGTAATCTAAATGGATGAACTATGTATTTGAGAACTATATTACTCTATATTTGTAAGTAGTATAAAATGTATCATGATTGTTTGTTAACTCGTACAAACCGTTTCCCTCCTATTTCAATGAATCGATTTGAACGTTGATAATGGTGGTTGCTACTTTCAAATTTTAAGCTTACTTTCTTCATTGTACCTCATTGATTTACCCATTTACAATACATGATATTACACTTGGAACTCCTTTAATTACCTACGAGATGATTGTGAATCGAAACTAATCTACATTACGCTAAGCAACATTTTAACATTGTTCGTGTTTTAAACATCAAAGTACATCACAAATTTATGATAACTGTATTTTCAAATGAAACCACTTTAACTCCGACACATTTCATTAAGGCTCCTCTCACACAATGTGGGTTATAAAACAGTATGAGAACAAGCTGTGAAACGTATATGGAGAAATTCGAACACTTCACTTCTATCTGAAATTTGTGCTGATGATGTCGTTCAGAAGAACGATGAAAGCTCCACGAACAAACCATTCAGCTCAGAGAACAAAACTTCATCAAAATTAGAATAATGATTTACAAATGATAGTTAGGGGTTAGGAATTATATTTAAGGGTTTTTTTCTGTCATCACTAACTGACATTATCTTTAATGCCAAAAACTCTATTTAACCAATTGGATGAATGAATTCCACGTTGAAATCCAAGACCTATTATCATCTTATAATCTGATTGGTTCATCCATAACTTAAAAATCTCACCAATTTTATTTTCTTTATCAGAAGGAGTTTGTGGAGATTGTAAAAATTTCACAGATTGAAATCACGAGTCAATTGAAGCTAGACCACCATGGAAAACCTAGAAGCACTGGACAGCCATTTCATCCTAGTATGGTTTATAGTTCACTGAATACAATGGTGTACGGTGGCGCAACTTCGTGGATTGGTTGAAGTTAGACATTAACACTATTGCATGCCGGCTCAGTGGTTTATTTTCTTTCTTTATTCTTATCATGCCTTAAATGTGTGTAATTTTTTTCATACATTGAATTCACCTTCTTATTCTTTGTACTAATTCGAAGTACATAAGTGTTGTTTATTGACTTATCCATATTACTCAAGGTTAAACAAAATCACCTTCCTATAAATAAAATCAATAGCTGATGTCCATTTTATCAACCCTATTAGGCAAGTCATGTGAACAAACGTTTCTCTTTTTTTTTGGCAATATTCTTGATCAATCACATGATTAGCCAAATTGTTTATCACAATGAAAATTGTCAATAAATAAGGACAAAAAATTATAAAAAAAATTTTTTTTTGCCTGTGAACATATTTAGTTGTTAAGTCAGTATGGACAATAGGCTTGTAAACATATTTATTATGTAATATGAATATAGGATTTTTCAATCTATGAGTATTGCTTAATTACATTAGATCATTTAATGAAATGATAGCCTACTTCAATCTGTTTCTAATATCCTGAAGATATGTATTGTTTATTTTAAGGTAAACAATCTTAAATAGCTAAACTGACATTATGAGTAATGGTTAACGAAGATGATATTCACAAGAGTAAAATCGTCTGGAGACCATCTTGGACTAATGTCGGTATCAAGCTTGGATAAAGAATGAGGGTTACATATGGGATTAGTGACCCCATTCTGTAGGAAACTAACTCATTAACCAGAAAAAAATGATTCGAACCATTAAAACTCTGCAATGGAAGTTAGAAGAATTATGACGTCTCATTGGTGAAAGCCGAGTTCGTTCGGAAGTGACAAGGCTTATCCCTCTTCTGACAACTAGAATAACCATTAATTTAGGTACATGGAATGCTCGTACGATGTGGGACACCGGGAGAATTATTATAGACCTGTTGTAATCATTACAACTAAACTATCATCTTACCAATATCTAGCATTCTGTGAGTTTATCCACAATGATCTATCTACCGAAAGTAACTATGGGAAATAGTTTACCAGAGATTACAACATCGAATCACTGATATATTCTGCTATTGAAGTGAAGCGAAAAAACGTTGTTACATTGGTGGATAGATACTATGAACCGAGATACAAGAAAATCAACAATCCCTTAATTTAGTTTCAAATCATCATTTAGTTATTCATTTCAATAAAATAAAAGTTCATCATTCAATTAGTTCTACACAAATATACATTCATAACAAATAAAAAGTACAACACAATTCAGTGCAAATTCAATGTAAAATAATAAAAAAATTGGGCCAGTACAACCTCACTGTCAAGGTCAATCTTCCCATACAGACACTTCTTCTTCCAACCAATCAATGTCATCATTCATTGTAATCACCTAATTCATTCGCACAAATTATTGATTACTGATCGAAATATATAAAACCATTATGCATATTACTATTATTATTAATATTATTATTGTTATTGTTATTAAGTTGAATAGAAGTTGGGAAGCATGAATCAATGAATGGTACTACCATATGCATCTGATCTATTTATGCATTACAAAAAATACGTTGAATCTTAAACTAAACAAACCAACTTTCATTTTAACTAAACAAGTAACAAGATTCGGTAAATAATTCGATGTTCACAGAAATCTCCGCTACTACTTAACTGAATTAATGATCATCATAATATAGGTGACTTTACAGTTTGCTGAGATATGGTTTTCGTCTTGTATATTTAATAACTCGCCTGAAAGTACAGGCTACTACTTGTAGAATTGACGATGTTTATGAAGATTTGGGAAAAAGCAAACATGCAGAACAAAAGAAGGAAGCGGAACTTTAAATTCAACATATTCAAAATGTATTCTTGTAGAACAATTCAAGCCATGTCACAATCCTTTTTGCTAATCAATAATTTTCAACGGATTAGTTATATAAACCAAGAAACTTCTAACTTATTTCCACGTCATTGCCCCATACATTGGGCTTACACTTTATCTAGTCGTTTTAGTTTCAGTGTTTACCAATTCTTCTTCGTCAATAGTTGAGATCATGAATCAGTCGAAGCTAGAGCACCATGGAAAACCTGGAAGCACTGAACGGCCGTTTCGTCCTATTATGAGACTCCTCAGCTGTTTGTCCACGATGTCGTTCGCGGGATCCGAACCCAGGATATTCGGTCTCGTGCGCGAATGCTTAACCTCTAGACCACAGACAAGGCCGGTATTCAACTGTATTAATGTCTAACCTCAACCTAGGACCTATCAGTCTCGCGCGCAATCGTAGTTAAAAACAATTTTTACCATGAATCGATCCAAAGGTAAAACACTGCATAAAACGTAGCATACAAGATTACATATTAACGAACATTAGAACGCCTTAATACTGAATGACTTAACACAAAGGCAATAATCTCTTATATCCATAATTTATAGATTATTCACCAACAAAATAAAAATTTAACAGTCAGGTTCACTTATGGAATATCACATCTCAAAATATAATTCCACCACCCAACAAATCATATCTTTCGATTAAAAGCAAACAGAAATTCCATAAGATGATGGAGAAGATTTAATAGCTCAAATGGATGATTTTGATAGAGTTTTGTTCTCTGGAGATAATTTGAACATTTCACTTCAACCTGAAATTTGTACTGATGATGTTGTTTAGAAGAGAACAATGAAAACTCCACAATCAAATCATTCAATTCACAGAACACAAATCCATCAAAATTGTACATCAAATGAACGTTTCATCCATACTACTGATATTGATCAATTCAGTAATAATGAAACAAAATATCGATTTTAAATATAACTTACTTTATAAACAGAATAACCAATAGTTAATAGATCAGCACCTTCACGTCTCATTTTTCGTCTATTCTTTTGCATTAAACCAACAATTAATGTACCTTTATTTTCATTATCATCATCATCTGGATCTTCAACAGTTACTACATATTGTGGATTGATCCAAAATGTTTCTAAGAAACAAAAAACCCAGAAACAAATCATACACATAATGTCTAATCTTTGCTATCAGCACTTACAGTATTGCTCTACTTTAACTAGTCAAGCATTTGACATGACAATTTCATCTTGTTTTACTGTAATGATAAGATAAATAAAGTTCATACACGAATATGCTTGATTCTATTATCTAACTAACTGAACAATTATCCTATAGAATTTATTATAACTTAAAAGGAAAAGGAAATCTATCCATTATACAAATTGAGATAAACAAATCAAATGGTTAATATGTTGTGAGTAATGTGTTGAAGTGATAAGTTGGGAACTATGGATTCAATGCATTTCCATAATGAGATCTCAAAACACGATTGGACAAGATTTCAAATTCAATACAGTTGATAGCGAGGTTATAATTTATGGACAACCTTGAAATGAATCTCAAGTGACCGTGAGAGATTTCAGCCAATGAGAGAACGGTTGGTGTAGAGTAAAAATATATTATACGAAATCAAAGAATCAAAGTGAATACACTTCTTTTACATTGTTCAAAAACTTGACATGTTTAGAAAGAGGTTCAGAGGTTCTAAAATCTTAATGTATACGGTATAGGAAATCATCTATATGGTTTCATAATAGTCGGCCTCTGGAGACGTGATAAGGTCACAAAAACTGTTTGAACCTCAACCACATAGCTTCAATATTGTTTGTGTGCGCTCCGGTTGTTGGGTTCATAAAATGCTACTTGTGGACAACGACATAATGCACATAATCAAGTCTATTTTGGTATCTGTATGATCTTCAATCATTCGTGTATATTGTAGAACCTGGCTTCAGCCAGTGTCATTGGTGCTTCTATTATCCAGTTCTCAATTTACCTTAGTCTCAATCTGGATCGAGCGAAGAAACCCTATTCTAGCAGACTTCTTACTCCAACACACATTACATCATCACTGTAGTCTGCACAAAGTCATGTGATTTAATTTATGTACAAAATATTTAAGCACGTAAATAAACCACCAATAAAAATGTATGGTAATTTAGTTGAAAAGGTTTAGTGGAGTTGGGTTTCAAATTGAAGGTCACATCCGTTATACATCAATTTCAATTAGTCTATCATGGAAAACAAGGGAACGCTGGACTGCTATTTTGTTCTAGTGCGTGACTACTCAATAGTGAACACCCAAAACTTCAACACGAACATTAGACACCGACTCACCGACTTATAGGTACTGGGTTTGATTCCTACTGAGGTCGTAGGTGCTCGTTGGTGAAGTGTCTTGTACTAGGATGAAACAGCTTTCTAGTGTTTCCTTATATTTATTGCTACCTCAACTGAGATCAATCTGCGTCAAATACAGTCTACACCTAGAAATAAAAGCCAAAAGACATATACGAAATCACTGCCGTCTCCCTTATCATCAATTATATTAAGTTTGTTGAGTTTCACTTAACTGGAGACATGTTTTCAAGTATCTTGTAATTTAGTGTTTTATTTCAACAATACTTGAGTTGTCTGCCACACGTGGAAAACGTTTTGTCCAACAATAAAAATAATACCAAATTTCATCTTACCAAGAAAATTACGACATCCACCGGCAGATACACGCCGCTGCCAACAACCTTCTTCAATACACATTTCCCAAACACGATTTCCTCCCATTTCTCCCATAGATTGTGGTCCAAGATGACATATCTCAAGTTTTTCAAAATTCGATACAAAATCTTGATAAGACATCCTAGAATAAAGAAAAATATTTGTATCAGAAGGGGTTTTGTGGATATTATAGTAATTTTAATAGTTGAGATCAAGAAGTAATTCATAGAGTTCTAGTGAGAAGCCGTGACCAGTGGAGTTCAACCGAGTCTGTTGTGAGATAGTAACTCACTGATGACAATGGTGGATGTGTCACTAAATTTTGTGGATTAGTTGAAATTAGACACAAACACCATTGGATGACGGCTCAGTAGTCTATAGGTTAAGCATTCGCGTACGAGACCGACAGACCCTGGGTTCGAATCTCGCGAGGCGGGATTGTGGATGCGCACTGCTGAGGAGTTCCATAATAGGACGAAACAGTCATCTAGTGCTTCCATGTTTTCCATGGTGGTCTAGCTGCAATTGCTTAACACGATGAAATATCATGAAAAAAATGTTACAGATAAACGGAAATTGAACATATGACTTTAACATTCACCTAAACCAAACAGGGATTAATCAGAGAGAGGAAATTAATTACCTGAAAAGGATAGTATAGACATGTTTTGTATAATAAATCAAATTTGAAAATGATTACTTATTTTGTTCATGTAGAAATGTATCTACATTGAAGAAGGTAATGGTGACAACCAGAGATAATACAAACGAAACTGGTACGTGTACTTTCTTTAAACTGGATAATTGTGCATCAACTGTAGCTGCATCACAGAATAAATCTATTCAATTACTAAGTTTCAGTGTTCAACAGATACCTTATGTTCTGTGAAGAAAACTACACAAATAGTTGAATTCATGAGTCAATTGAAGCTAAAAAACGATGAAAAACCTGGAAGCAGTGGATGACTGTTTCGCCATAGTGTGGGACTCCTTAGCAGTACACATTCACGACTCATTAATTCAAATATTATATTACTATAATATCCACAAAATATCCCTCTGATTATTTTGTAGTTAGGGTTTACCAATTCGCTGGAAACATTAAACGTTTACTAAACAAATTTAGTAGAAATCTGGAAAGCATTACATACAATACTAATCCGATTGGAAAATTGGTTCATGTTAACTTATAATGTAACACACTGTTCATTAACTCTTTGCCCCGAAATGCTTTGGTACGGCCGACGTCGGAAAGAATCAGCTCTCCTCTTCCATATGCTCCCACATGACCATGCGTATACAGCCACTGCCACACAAGTCCTACTCGCTTCATTTTAGCGGCATTACTGTCCTTTACAAAATTGAGAGGACGAAAAGTGAATGTCCAGGTTGGTGGACACGGAGTATCCACCCAGGGGAGTTGGCAAACCTTGATTCCAAACCAGTGGTACACATGGGCTGGCTCCAGGATCCTGAGGGAACAAATGGCATATGAACATAGTGTTGATGACCAGCTACTATGGGACTCCATCTCCTTACGATGCTCCATTACCTTGTGAATTAGACATTTGGGTCGAAGGTTCGGGGTGTAGTCCTCTAAGAAAACCACATGCTTAGGTTTGGGCACCCGGGAAGTATCCCAGCCCTCACACAAACCGAATGATTTATGTGGAGCATATCTACTTGGTGCCTCCTTGTACCAATGTTTATGTGTTTAAATAAATGTAATAAATAATAAAAAAATATTCCAGAATGACCCTATAGAAGAGATACAGATTAGTTTCAGTTATTCTTCTCTGGTAAACGATAAAACTGTGAGAATTTTCTGATACTTGAAAATCATTTAATCAACCTGAAGTAAGAAAAGGAAATAATCTTATCTATTTGAAGACGTTAACAAAATGCAGTATCCTGAATGTTTAATGCGATAACCAAGGTACAAAATGGAATAGTTATTCATTAATAATTTAGGCCAATGGTCACATTACATCATAATAATGGATTAAGTAAGAAAACGTCGAATCAAGAAATTCCAAGTCCATAACTGAATAGTATTCACACTTATGACATGACCTAACTATACTGAGGTTGGAATACATGTGTAGTAGTGTGGCCGTGTATATCGCTGAAGTGTCCAGAACTAGGATGAGTCTTCAAACAAGACTATTGTTAATTGTTTCACAAAGTAATTAATCCATTTATTTTTCCAGTAAACACTTTATGAAACCTGCTTTTAAAACAATTTCAATATCATATTAAAGAATAGCAAAACTGAAGTTGTGAAAAGTTATAACTAACAGTATCATAAATATCAGCATTGGGTTGTGGAGAGCATTAAGTTTTTGATAAAGATCATGAGCCCCCCCTGGAAGCACTGGACGACCGTTTCGTCCTATTGTGGGACTCCTCAGCAGATTGCATCCACGATCCCGTTCGGAGGATCCGAACCCAGGATCTTCAGTCTCGCACGCGAACGCCTAACCTCTAAACCACTGAGCTGACCGACATTCAATTGTGTTAATGTATAACCTCAACCATATATATAAGTGAATATTTCAACAACAATAAATATTATGTTTTATTAATTTACCAAAATTCACCATCATCATCGAATGTTAAACCAAGTTGTTGTCGTTGTTCTGGTGAAATAAGTGACCATTCTTTTGATTTATCACTCCATGCACCTTTCCATTCAGATTCATCACCCCATGGATTACGTACACGAACTAGTGGTATCTTACCAGTTTTGTTTGGAATTGATATGTCTAACTAAAATGATAAGTCAAATACATATATATACTCTTATACTGTTAACACATAAACATGTAGAAATTAGGTTAATTAGCTATGCATTATAACTCCGCTTGGAGCTCCTCTGGAACTACTGCCGGTCACAAGCTCAAACCCAAGTAAAAGTTAAAATAATAATTTCTATATGTTCAAATGTTTATCAAACTGCATTAAGTTTCAGATAATAATGAAAATACAATAACCTATAATTGTTACTATTGTTGTTTGAATTGTCTTATTATTGATATTCAAGACTGAGTAGTTTTTCTTCTGGAATATCTTGTGTGAATTGCATCAATATGGAGATTTAGCCGTAAGCTTTTTTTTAATCAAAGTAGATGCAATGTTCTCATTTACCAGCAAAGAATGATTGGAATTCAATCCTGAATATCACAAAGGAGATCATTCGAATTCTTATAGATAATTATATCAACATCATATCACTTGTATAATTTGGCGCATATCTAGAAGACTTAATAGTTTATTGAATAGTGTGTTACTGCTTGATGCAGAAGGTACATAGTTCAAGTTCCAGTGTGTACATCAACATTTAGGTGAAGACAAATTCAATCACCAAGTCCTAAATCCCACTACAAGTCATAAACCATGTGTTCTAGGTAGTTTAAAGTAATATTTCAACTACAAGGCAAAACAGCGCCTATTTTATTTAAGAGTAAGTACACTTTCAAAGAAGTGAATGCATTAAAATATCATGGTCATACCATTAGTGAATATTTTACTAGTCTTTTCAAAGCTCAATATATGAAATTATACTACTATCTCCACGACATTGTTCAACGAGCTTAACAACAAGTCCCATATAGACGGACAAACCTAAAATTTAATGATTTAATACAATGAATTAATTGAATGAGCTTCAGATCAACTTCTAGATATAGGTAATTGAATTGTCTATTGAGTTAGATGTTATACTGTATTTACTACTTAACTACTTGTTGTCAGTATACCATTAGTGAAATAATCTATAAATGAACAATAAGAACAGTAGGATACATCATAACAATTCGGTTCATTATAGAAATACATTTTTTGATAACAAGCACAAACAAGATACGATCAAAAAAATGAGAAAAGAAAGGCCACTGCTGCCTAGCAACTATAAAAATTAATCTGTAACTCATCAATTCAGGGAATTTTAGAAGTTTCCAGCTAATGATTCCTTACCAAGTAACAGAAACAAATCATATCACTAATCCTGTTCATCAATTTGCTTCCATAATCAATAATTGATTAACTATAAGGAATAATATCATATTATACTAACTGATTTTTAAAATGAAAAGGACAATTTAGTCATTCCTTTCAATAAAATAAAAGTTCATCATTCAATTAGTTCTACACAAATATACATTCATAACAAATAAAAAGTACAACACAATTCAGTGCAAATTTAATGTAAAATAATAAAAAAAATTGGGCCAGTACTTCTATTCACAACCTCACTGTCAAGGTCAATCTTCCCATACAGACACTTCTTCTTCTAACCAATCAATGTCATCATTCATTGTAATCACCTAATTCATTCGCACAAATTATTGATTACTGATCCAAATATATAAAACCACAATGCATATTACTATTATCATTATTGTTCATATGTTGAATAGAAGTTGGGAAGCATGAATCAATGAATGGTACTACCATATGCATCTGATCTATTTATGCATTACACAAAAATACGTTGAATCTTAAACTAAATAGACCAACTTTCATTTTAACTAAACAAGTAACAAGATTCGGTAAATAATTCGATGTTCACAGAAATCTCCGCTACTACTTAACTGAATTAATGATCATCATATATAGGTGACTTTACAGTTTGCTGAGATATGGTTTTCGTCTTGTATATTTAATAACTCACCTGAAAGAACAGGCTACTACTTGTAGAATTGACGATGTTTATGAAGATTGGGGAAAAAGCAAACATGCAGAACAAAAGAAGGAAGCGGAACTTTAAATTCAACATATTCAAAATGTATTCTTGTAGAACAATTCAAGCCATGTCACAATCCTTTTTGTTAATCAATAATTTTCAACGGATTGGTTTTATGAACCAAGAAACTTCTGAATTATTTCCACGTCATTTTAGTTTCAATGTTTACTAGTTCTTGTTATTCTCAGTCAGTCAGTAACAACATAGAACTTCGTACTTACGTACATCAGTTCGAGTTGCCATATCACATATGCTCAAAAATGCAATTGTCGATTCAAATCACATAGTGGTAGAGGTAGTAAAAGTATAAGCAGTAATCGGAAAGATTAGCATTTGAAGATGTTATTCATGGAGTATAATCCAGTGAAATAAATTTGGATAGAGAAAAAATAGGAGACCTGAAGAATTTAGAAGATTAGAATTCGGGTGAACACAAAGAGTAGATGTACCTGAGTCATTGCAAACGATGTTGAGCTATGTCATTCAATGTCTCTAACCATCAGTTGCTATCATCTCACAGATCCGAACCAGTTAGTCTAAACCTACCAATATGGTTTAGTCCATTTGTCAGTGACTTCATGGATGTGTACCATGTTTTGGTCTGGCCGCCCCTAGTTTTCTTCTAACCTACTCCTACACCATTAAACATCTCCCTGATATTCACAATATATTGTAAAACAATTATTATTTTATATTGAACCTGTCTATAAATAATGAAAACAATTATACTAACCATTTTCACAGATGTAACTGAATAAGCATGTCCCATAATCAATCCATTTGGTAATCGAGCTTCATATTTATTTGGATCAGCTTGAATGGAACATGCCATCAATGAACCTAACTCTTGACTTTTTAGCATAACTTGTAATAAATTTGGTGGTGTATCTTTTTTCAAATCAAACATTTCAGCAATTCCACCAGTAAAATCTTCTAATGCTTCACTAGTTGTACCACCTTTAAGTGCTTCATATGAACCGCATAATCTATTTATACATATAAATATACAAAATAAATCACTCATTTAAACTATGAAAATTGACCAATTGAACATTTGTATAAATTGTATGTTAATAAAGTATTACTCTCTGCATACGCTTATTTGCTAGCTTCAGGAATGGTAAATATTTGGGAAGATATCTTTTAACGCGATAGAAATGTGGTGATGATATTACTTACTTACCTACGCCTGTTACTCCCAGTGAAGGAGCATAGGCCGCTCACCACCATTCTCCATCCAACCCTGTCCTGGGCAATCCTTTCTAGCTCCGTCCAGTTGTAATTCATCCTTTTCATATCTGCTTCTATTATCCGACACAATGTGTTCTTTGGCCTTCCTCTTTTTCGCTTCCCTTCAGGATTCCAAGTTAGGGCTTGTCTCGTGATGCAGTTTGACGATTTGCGTAATGTATGTCTTATCCACCTCCATCGTCTTTTTCTAATTTCTTCTTCAGTTGGAAGCTGGTTTGTTCTCTCCCACAGAAGGCTGTTGTTGATGGTATCCGGCCAATGGATGTTGAGTATCTTGCGTAGACAGGTATACATATAAATACTTGTACCTTCTTGATGGTGGTTGTTGTAGTTCTCCAAGTTTCAGCTCCGTACAGTAGGAGATGATATACACCGTAATAATCATCAATCTTGTAGGCAAAATGTTTTCCCTTAATAAGTAATATATGCAAAGTATAAATATCCTTAGAAGGGGGTATTGAAGTAACTGCTTTTATGAATCCAGTGTTCATCTTGTTGTACTAATGAGGTATGGCAACATGAACCGATGCATATATATGCCTGGTCCTACGTTTGTAGTTGATTGACCCTTAGAAGGTGATATACCTAGGATATCATGTCTATTTTGGAATGATAGGTGCTATGAAATATAAATCAAACAGTCTACGCATTATTGGTACAACTTGATGTTCCATAACATTTTCATGTTCAATAATAACTGCTGGTCATTATTACGTTTAAGGTTTAGAGGACTTTAAGATATTACATGATGCATTTGATTTGTGGGAGAGAACTAAATTTGTTAACATAAATGTCGATGATCAGGTTCAACTTGACTATCACATCATAATTAGACATGCAATTGATTTACTTATTCTTGTTAGCCATAGGACTCACTATTTAGGATACATTATTCCTTTAGTAGGAAGGAAACATTAATAGAATTAGACAATTTGCTAACTAAAACGAATGTGGTTAAATAATGTTATACTTGTAACAAAACCTGAACATTCTGTAGATGAGACTGTATATAATGTAATCATTGTCTATTGATAAGGAGTCTTAAATTAGGATTCAGCAGTCTAAAGACTAAGCATTTATAAAGAGAACTCTAGATCCTGGATTTTATCTCCGGTTAGTCTGTAGATATGGATTGATAAAAGAGTCACATACTAAGACGACACTGTTGTTCAGTTGTTACCGGCTTTCAACGGATGCTTGACAAAGCCCACTGAGCAAAACAAGACAAAACATGAATCCAGATTTGCTTACCTCTTAATTACCATTTTTAATTAACAACTAAAACTTACTTTGCATAAGCTTTTTCTAATAAGGCAGACCAAAATTCATTTGTATCAGTTGAATGTATATAAACTAATGATTTATGATAAGTTGGTAAACGATCATCTATAACAACCTCTTTCCATTCACCATAATTCCAAAAATGAAAACGAAATAAACCACAATATTCTTTAGTAAAACTTTGATCAATTGCTACAATTTGTTCAAATAATTTCTGATTCATTGATAAACAAGCAATAGCAGCTAATAGCCAACAATCACCTAAGAAACATATATGGAATAAGATAAAGAAATAACTAACAAGTAATGACTATATATAGAAAAATGAAACAGTCAGTCAGAAACAACGTAGAACTTTGTACGTATGTACGTACATCAGTTCGAGTTGCCATGCCACATTGGCACAGAAATACAATTATCGATTCAAATCTCATAGTGGTAGAGGTAGTAAGAGTATAAGCAGTAATCGGAAAGATTAGCGTTTGAAGATGTTATTCAAGGAGTATAATCCACTGAAATAAATTTGGAAAGAGAATGAATGACTTTTCATATCTTTTCCTTGATTACTTGGCAATCCTATACAACAACAAAAATCAATAATATCATTATAATGAAGAAAAAATTGGATCGTCGGTTAACTGATTTCATTCATACTGATGGTTAGTTTTCAGGGTTCTCAAGGGCCGTTGTTATTGGGAAATTGTAAGGTATGTCGCCATTGCTAATACTAATGAGTTTAACTGTCGTGTAAAAACGGAATAGGTCAACTTTGGCCTGTGCGTGCTGTGCACAATAGATTTACGCAATCAATGATGTATATGTATACAAGAATGGTGCGAATGGTCCACTAGGGTGTTTGGTAGTACCTGAGGGGTTGCGCCACATGATTGAACTATACTATTCAGATTTTAGTGTTAAAGCCTAAACGGTGTCTGATTCTCCTGTGAAGCGGGATTGAACTGTACTGTTTGGCTTGTCACTTGGAAATCTGAATGGTGTCTGGTTCTCCTGAAAACCAATGTAAAATTACCCTAACCCATAAGGGTATATTATGTAACTTATATAACTATGAAATTTTGATCGATTGTTACAATTTGTTCAAATAATTTCTTATCCATTAATAAACAAGCAATAGCAGCTAATAGCCAAAAATCACCTTAGAAAAAAGTTGAAATAAGATGAAAATAACTAACAGAGACAATGACTATTTATAAAAGAATGAATGACCTTTCATATACTTTCCTTGATTATTTGGTAATCCTACACATAAAAAAGTCAGTCATATATAATTTTAATGAAAAATCTCATACTAGTTACGTATTCACTAGTGAATCACTTTAAGAGATGTAATTTTCAGAGTATTAGTGAGAAGTTATGATCAGTTAAGACCCTTATCTATCTTTGCTTAGAATCTTTGTCAATTAAGACAAATATCAAGGTCATATGGACAGGATGCATATATGTCAATAAGAGACTGATCAATTGTGGTCCTAAACATCAATCATAAGATTCAAATAGAATAATATCAGGACTCGATGGCTGCGTGGATCATGAGATGGTGTTTGAAGCGAACAGTAGTGAGTTCGAGTTCCTGAGTTGCAGGTACATCCAACCGACGAGTCGCTAATAGGACGAGACGCACGTCAAACTGGATTCCATTGCTACTCACTATCCATCTCTGCTCAGAACATAATTAGGTTTTACATCTTTTAAGATGTCTATTAAACTTTCCTACAGATTATGCTGTCTATGAGAGAAAATGTCATAAATTATAAATTCGTCCTTATGGACGGACATAAATTATCCGTCTACTTGAATCCTAATAACGATCGAAATAGATTTGTAAGAGTTCGCACAATATTCTTGGTTAGGATTAGGATTAGGAAGTTCAGATTAGGATTTTTATCATGAACTGACATTAGCTGTAAATTTGATGGAGTTTTGTTCTCTGAGCTGGATGATTTGGTTATGAAGCCTTTAACTGGTCTTCTAAATGATCCATCTGAACTACAAATCTTCTCCATCATTTCATCAGCTGTAATAAAACAGTACTTTACAGTGTTTACACAAGAATCTAATTAGTTTGTTTATAAATTTTAATACTTATTTCATTATAGTATCAGACAACTGTGCAGTACTTATCCACAATCAAACCGGAAATCAAACCCAGAACTTTCATACCTCTGAGTGATTTACTAACTTTCAGACCATTAAGCCAGCATCCAATAGTTTACATCTACAATTTAAATCATCTCATGATGTTGCATATCCATCATCCAATGTCATCAGTAAGTAATTGTCTGTTATCAGATATAGTTGAACTCTACTAATCAAGGATTCTCATCAGAACTTTATAACTTACTTTTTGAAACTAGTCATTTATAAACACTAATTAAATACGGTTCATATGCAATAGAATAATTATTTAATAATCATTAATCATTAATTGTCAGTACCAAAAATCGATTGTCTTGAATGTGAAGTTGGTATCTTCAACAACAAAAAAACTTGAGCATATTCCATAGGACTAATAACAGCTCTTATTTAGATTTCTAGCTGAAATGAATATTTTAGTGAAACTGACACCATGGATTCTAATTCTATTTCTAAAATTTAAAAAATCATAGTTACTAAGATACATAATATTATCAGTTTAGGGGTCATGGAGATTGTTAAGATTTTGATCGAGATTATCACCTGAAGTTTGAATTGTACAATTAATTAGATACTGACTCAGAAATTCTAATGATTGAATATTTGTCTTGAAATTTTAAGATCATAGCTTCGTTCATTGATAAGATCTTGATGGATTATTACTTAGGAATCTCATACTGAGATGGAATAGCTATTCAATGCTCTAAGTACAACAAATCTATATTGAATACAGCATATAACTTCAAAATTCATTCATTTCTTTACAAACAATTCTACAAATTTCGATAGTTGAGATCATGAGTCAACTGAAGTTAGACCACTATGGAAAACCTGGAAGCACTGTACAGCCGTCTTCTTCCATTGTGGGAGAACCCCAGCAGGCCCTTAGATACCCTGGTACGGCTGAGAGTGGGGAGAGTCAGCGCCCTCTCTCTCTCACTCCCTCGAAATGCTCTCACATGGCCACTCACTGCCTTCTCGCGGCATTACTATCGTTTACGAAATCGAGAGAACGAAAAGCGAATGTCCGACACTAACCAGAATAGTAGATAGGGAAGATCCACCAAGTAGAGTTGGGCACCCGAGCAGTATCTCAGCCCTCACGTAAAACGAATGATTTATGTGGTGTTTATCTATTTGGTGCCTCCTTGTACCAATGTTTATGAGTTTAAATAAATAAATAATTAATTAAAAAACTCAGCAGTGCGCATCCACGATCTCGCCTCGCGAGGTTTGAACCCAGGACCTATCGGTCTCTTGCACGAACGCATAACCTCTAGACCACTGAGCTGACCGTCGTCCAATAGTGTTAATGTCTAACCTCAACTAATCCACAAAATTGAGCGACACATTCACTATCGTCTTCAGTGAGTTACTATCATACTAGAACTTCAGGAAATACCTCTTGAATCCAATCACTAGTGAGCAAATGCTGAATAGTATCAGAAAGAGGTTTTTGTGGATATTATAATCATTTCAATAGTTCAGATCACTAGTCAATCTATAACTTTAAGGAAAATTACAAAAAAAGTCTCAAAAGATTTGTTATATTATTTTATCAAATATTTTCATAAAATCCATTTATATAAACAAATTGTATTTCACTGAATACCTTTCTCGCCTTAGTAACAAATATGACCTTCATAACAATGTGAACAATAATAATAATCACGAAAGATTTGTTACAGTGTTTATTTCGGAACTTTTCGTACGATCAGAGTCTAGAAATTCCATCATACACCTATATACCCGTCTACCAATGTCTGTCGCTTAAACTAATATGACTTCCAAAAAATAAAATTGTGTTTGCCAGACAAATGGAATAAACATTTTTTTAATTAATCTAACTTACTACTTTTTGGTAATGATCAAAATTAGCATTTCTGTGCTTACATAAAATCAGAGAAACTTTTGGACATAGACTTGTATTATTTATTTAAACATATAAACATTGGTACAAGAAGGCACCAAATATGCATGCGCTACACTTCGTCATTCGATTTGTGTGAGGGATGGGATACTGCATGGGTGCCCAAACCGAAACAGGTGGTTTTCTTAGAGAACCACACCCCGAACCTTCGAACCAAATGTCTAATTCACAAGGCAATGGAGCATCGTAAGGAGATGCAGTCCCATGGTATCTGGTCACCAACAATATGTTTATACACCAATGTTGTCCCCTCAGGGTCACCATTGGTTTCGAATGAGGGTTTTCCAACTCTTCTAGGTTGGCCCTCCGTGTCCGTCAACCCAGTTAAAGCGTTGGACAGTCGATTTTCGTCCTCTCAATTTCTTAGACAACAGTAGTGCCGCGGAAATGAAGCGAGTAGGACTTGTGTGGTAGTGGCTGCATACACGTGGCCACGTGAGAGCATTTCGAGAGAGGGAGAGAGAGAGAACTGACTCTCCCCACCCTCGGCCGTACCATGGCAATTTGGGGCGTAGATAAGTAGGTGTTGACTGATTAGACTAATAAATTACCGGTTCCCATCCAAACTTTCACGTGACAACCCAAACGGTACAGTTAAATCCTTTTTAACAGGAGAGCCAGACACCACCCAAGGCTTAACTCGAGCAGTACAGCTCAATCCCGTTTCGCACGACAGTCGGAGAAATAAAAATTTCGCACATTCTTATAATTAAAATCAATTATTCTTAAGAAAAATCAAATGGCTGAAAGTATTCAATAAAAATCCACACTAGAACGTGGCTCAAATTTCGTATTAGCTTTTACTTGACAATACAAAGTTTTCATAACCTTAAAAATGACAATACTTTTCACAAACGTTCAGTCTCATATCATTATTCACAAGTGAAGTCAGTTGGGGATATAAACTCTCTTATTTCTAACCCTCACAACTGCGATAATTAGGCCAAGTTTATTGAGATCACGTACAAATCTAAGTTTGATAACCATCAAGAACCTGGAAATACTGCACAGCTATTCGGTCTCCGTATGAAACCCTTGAACAGTACGCATCCAAGACCCCACCACCAGTATATAAAACTTGTAACCCCTGGTGTCGCATGTGAGTGCTTAACTTCTTGATCACCAAGTCGGCATACCATGGTACACAAGTCTAAATTCAGTCAATCCTCAATATTGTGCTATCATTTTCCATTGTTTTTGATGCGTATCTTCCTTACACTCAACACGTTTGAACTCCATTGATCATGGGTTCTCGACAACATTTTACAACATCCATAAACCCCATGCTGATAAACATCATGTGCTCACCAGTAACTAGCTTCTAGAGGCCATTCCCGGAGTTTTAGTGAGAAGCCAAGTGTAAACCTGGTACTCATAGATGGCACTGGAAGATGCTTATGCAATATTGACAATTCAGTAAAGTTAGAAATAATTTGGAGACTAAGTTCATGCAGAGAAAGTTGCGGATCCTAAGTGCGACCCACTATGAAATCGACGAAACCTACTGATTATGAGTACTATATTTGAATAAAATTTAGTAAATTAATTGAATATTCTTTGAAAGATACACATGTAACCCGTTTGCCAGAATTAGTTTTTGATGAAGTTTCGTTCTCTGAGCTGGATGATTTGGTCGTGGAGCTTTCGTCATTCTTCTAAACGACATCATCAGCACAAACTTCAGGTAGAAGTGAAGTGTCCGAATTATCCACCTAAGCTACAAATCTTCTCTACCATCCCAGAATTAGTATTAATGAAACTGATTTCCCACTTCTCATTCAGTTGTTCAAAGTATATTACTTCACATTTAGTGATTCATGTATGTAATATGAATATAGGATACAACTAAGATCAATTCTGATGAAGTTTTATCAATCTAAAACAATACTTATTCTGAAAATCTTTTTCAACACAGTGGTTTGTAAAAACTTTTGGATTTCATGATTTACATAATCAACTGACCTTAAATAACTATTGAAAACCAGGAAACATTGAATATTTGTTTCATCCTATGCATTGAAGTTAGATATATGAACTATTAGATACCGACTGATTATTTTAAAAGTTAAACGATCGACATGAGGTCTCAAATATCCTATGTCCAATCTCAGATGTTCTTGTTACTAGGTTCTAATCTACAACGAAACAACTGTTTAATACTTTTTGATTTTCAATGATTACGTAACTAAGATCGATCAACTAGGAAATCTTATTCATCTAAGATTTAATCATTGAAAACAGGATAGATATAGCACAATTTTCAATTCAATTCATAATAAAAAAATATGAAAAGATGATAAGCTTTCATGATAAATTTATTAAAATATTAGTTATCAACAATTCAATGGTCTAGTGGTTAAGCGCTTGCGCACGAGACTAATGAGGTCCTGGATTCGGATCTCGCGAGGCGAGATCGTGGATGGGCACTACCACGGAGTCTCATAATGGAATGAAGTGGTTGTCCAATGTTTCCAGGTTTTCGATGGTCATCTAGCTTCAATTGATCCATGATCTTAACCATCCACAAAAGCTCTTCTAGTACTAATTCAATAAAAATTTATTCAATTTTTAATAATCTATGAATATCCAGTTTATATACCCTTCGGTAGTCTTTATAATCTAAGTAAATGGGTATCTGTCGGCTTAATTGTTTCATATATGTCTGATGGAATCATCTGTTGATCTCTAAGCTTTTTTTAAAGATTTAGTTAGTTAGATAGAGAATGAAGGAATCAGATCTTTAGAAAAAACTCAGAGATCAACAGATGATTCCACCAGGCATATATTAAATCTATGCATAATTCTGGATTCGAATCCTGAGGGGCGGAATCGTCAATGAGCACTGCTGAAACGTTTTTGTGATGTCCCAATAAAAATAATGAATGGTAACTAGTCGGATCCATTTATGGACCAATACTATGCGTATATTTTTATCGTATAATTGTTAAATAACTAAACTATTCATATTCATATCCCTCTTATTATGAGCCTTATTTTCATTAATGAACTGTTATTATACGATTTCCCATTCTTGAATTATTCCCTGTCTATTAATCACTAACTCCCACATTCACAGCCACATTTAGCTAAATCTTTTACAAATGTTGTTTTCTATTTTATGGTATGATTTGGTCTGTTTGGTTAGTATAGAAACCCCGTATGTTTGAAATGTAATGATTCATATCACAGAGGCATAGATTAGTGTTCTGAACTTCACTGACTGGGCTAGTCAGGAAGAATGACCAATCAGAACTCTAGACTGCACGTACGGGCTTTACGCATCATTGATCCAATCGATAATTCACTACTTCTCTAATTGGCAGTATCATTACATGATACATTAACAGGAGCATACAGGTCACAAGTTATAACAGTTTTATACTAAGACGAAACGGCTATCCAATGTTTTCAAGCTTTCTATGATGATCTTATTTCAATTGATTACATAATCTATTCAATAATATTCAGACACTGTTGACTTTTCTTTAAAGAAATCTATCTTCATGTTGAAGTAGTACAGTGATTAGATTAGAATAATATTAACAATATAAATTGTAATATTGTACATACACTATTACATAATCATTTATATATGAACATTACTGATTTCAATTACATCAATGTATTTACATATGTCTTATTATTATTATTATTATTAATGTGAATAGTATTGACATACATAGAATGATTCTATTCAAAGGGTTCTTTATATTCAATGAATTGAAAAGTTCTATCAATCATTTTGAATAGATAAATATTCTTATAATAGTGATTCAGTGTTAAGATTGATTTGTTTTAGAGTTCTATTGAAATATATCATAAGAGTCAACTTCATCAAATATAAAAAGGCATTTACAATGATCAATAATGGGAAAATGTTTATACTTGATTATAGTTCAATAATGAGATCATTTTGATACTGATTATATTGATTTTAAAATAGGATCTTAGCAATAAAATGATAAAATCTTAAGTGATAAACTAACTTAATAAATAGAATGAAATAACACAGGTTGAAATCATGAGTCGATTGAAGCTAGACCACCATGGGAAACGTAGAAGCACTGGACGGCCGTTTCGTCTTAGTATGAGACGCCTCAGCAGCACTCACCCACGATCCCGCACCACGCGGGGTCCCAACCCAGGACCTACTGGCTTCGCGCGCGAGCACTTAACCACTATACCATTGAGCCATCACTCAATAATGTTACAACTTATTGAAGATGCTGATAAAATGCAGTCTTTTAGGTAGCACTGACCAATAGTGCCAGAATGTTTGAGATGCAAGCTGATGCTTCAGGACTGGCCTGCAACAACATCTGAATTAAGGATAGAGAGTGAAGTAGTCGAATGCATCGATAACTTCACTTATTTTGGAAGTCTGATCAGTCTTAATGGGTTGATGTCTTACGAAACCACTTCACGGATTTAGAAAGCTCATTTGACTTTTGCCAACTTACGTCACCTTTGGCAAAGGCGAGATATCCGTCTGTCAATAAAAGGATAAGTATACTGAGCAGAAGTTCGTTCTGTTCTATTTTACGGCTGCGCAACAATGGCCATTAAGAGTAGGAGATACTCGTAAATTACTAGTAGTGCTTACATCTGCTGGGATCATCGGGTAAGTAATAGTGAGGTCAGATACAATCTATTAGGGAATGATGATAAATCAGTTGATCAGGTTGTGAATCTTCATCGACTGAGATGATTGAGCCACGTGTTACGTGTACCTGAACCCCGATTACCACGACACGCAATGTTGACTAGTGTTGAGAAGAAAGTTAGGGTCGACCAAACCAAAACAAGGCATCAGTGCTTGAAGTCACTAACTTCTGGTCTGAGCCATGTTGGTAGATGCAGACTACATGGTTGGGGTCCGCATGACTATCGTAACCAATAGTTGGAGACTGTGTTGTGACATGGCTCAGAATCGATCACAATGGTATGGATGCATACACTCTTTGTCTTCCATTAAACCGTTAGATTAAAATTACTTCATACGTTTCTTTCTGCGAAATAATTCTTTATTCCTGTACCATGCCCTTATACAAAATATTTCTTTTATGTATTGCCACTACTGAATTAACCACTTCTATGAATTTGGTGTTCATCTTGTTGTACTAATGAGGTGTGACAACTTGGACCGATTCATATATGTACATGGTCCTACACTGTAGCTGACTGACTGATAATGATATTTCTTCAATATTAAGATCAGATAACTGATAATGTGCATTATTAAAGACAAAATTATCAGCTATTTATCAAGAAATTTCATACTTTTCAATAAGTAAATATTGAATAATAACAATTAAATACTGGATTTTGGAAAATCTATTTCTTCTCATTAATCAATACTTACCTAATTCACCTTGACGTACATCAAATCGTGATGCACCGCCAGTAATAAATTCAGGATTTGGACATATTTCCTGAAGAAGAAGAAGAAGAATGGTATTCTCTGATGAATTGTTGAAAAGTGAATATATATATCTACATCCTCGGTAATTTTGTATCATAAACCAATTTTAGTTAAAGAACCAATTAAAATTAGGAAACACTAGACAAATGTTTCGTCTTAGTTTAGTGCTCATCAAGTGTTCACCTATGAATTCAACAATAATCATACACAGATCTTCTAGCGTTTCTTGTGAGTTTTCATCCTTCATACCGTTAAGTTAACATCAAATAATCTACTTTTCTAACTACTATCTGTTCATGTTATTGCGTGATGTAAGATGATGTTTGTGATAGCGTTGTCAGCTCTCTTGAAGATACGGATGATAAATACTACCGAAATAGAATGAAATAAGAATTCTAGTGATCTTTTTAGACCAAAGTTGTTTTGTTGTGGCGTTCTAATCACTTTAATGTATATATATATATTGAAATTGGAAGGAGAAACTGTAAAGCTCATACAATTTCTAGTAAATTCTGAAAACATTTTATCAACTATATGAATTGTTAAACTTGAGTCAATTGAAGCTAGACCATCAGGGAAAACGTGGAAACACTGTTGAACAAGATTTCATGTATCTAACCATACTTATAACAAACTGAAGTAAAATTAAGAAAATTTCAAATTTGACATTTAATATATATACAAAAGTCTAATGTAATAATAGATGTTAAGTTAGTTAAAGTAGTCGGATATGAAACTATATCTGTACTAAGTTTTGTACTAAACTTAACTTGTCAACAAAGTTTACTTACAAGCATAAGCTAGTCGATAATTGAATTGGTGTTATTCAACTCTTTATTCTAAGATGTTGCCACCAAATCATTTATAAATAAAAAGGATTAAAATGACACAATTTAGAAGAAGAAGAAGAACAAGAAGAACAAGAAGAACAAGAAGGAGAATTTTATAGATCCTATTCACGAAGTCTATATGTTTATTAATCATCTAAACCAATAATCGTGAACCGATTAGTGTCAGACCATCATTGAAAACCTGGAAGCATTGAATGGCCGTTTCGTCCTATCGTGGAACACTTCAGCAGTGTGCATCCATGATCGTGCTTGTAGGATTCGAGCACAGGACCTTCAGTCTCGTGCGTGAATGCTTAACTTCTAGATCTTTGAGTCGGCATCCAACGGTGTTAAGGTCTAAATTCAACTAATCTACAAAATTGCTCGACCATCTTCCATTGTACTGAGATAGTTACCTATCTCTATCCGACACAGACATATATATAAACAGTTTTACACTTAGTTAATATCGTATAAAATTTTCTCATTAGTTCACATAAATTTTATCATTCATAAGTGGTTTGTGTGTGTCTGTGTGTACAATATTCAATAAAATAGTTAATTTAATCAATATTATCATTATCATTATAAAACTTCCATCTATTAAGAATAATAATTTCCGTATTGATAAATATTAGTTGCTAGGTGAATTTTACATCCTGAACATATCAATTGAATAATGCCCTGAGTTCTAAGTTTTAACTCAATTATCATTTATGTAGATCTATTTTATAGGTTCAACCAATGATGGATAAGATTTAAATATCTGGTTAATTCATTGTTCTTATCATTAAATTACCATAAAAATGTAGAACGGAAATCATCTAGCGTTAGGTGGTTGAGGACAATCAACAGAAAATCCTGGACATTGGAAGAGATGGTGCATATTGTAGAGTTCAAGTCTGACTAACAGCCAGTGTTGCAGCCAGTGTTATTACTGTTTTCTTAACCGAACAATAATCAACCATCTATAGGACTGTGACACTAATATACTAAGTGATCAATAAATATGGAAACTCTAAACGGCAAATAATGTTAAAGATAAGTATCTGTTTACTTTATTATAATATGATTTTCATGTCGATACTATCACTTTTGCCGGTTATGCTTGGATTCAGTTGGTATGCTGATCTCTCTAGGAAAGCTTTTAAGTAACAAGACTTCGACTACTGTGAGATCAGCCCCTAGACTTTAAGTCACATTTATTTGTTTATTTATTTTAACACATAAACATTAGTACAAGGAGGCATCAAACAGATATGCGCCACATAAATCGTTCGATTTATGTGAGGGATGGGATACTGCCCGAGTGCCCAAACCGAAACAGGTGGTTTTCTGAGAGGACCACACCCCGAACCTTCGACCTAAAGGTCTGATCCACAAGACAATGGAACATAGGCCACATGTTCCCTCGTGATCCTGGAGCCACCCCATCTGTACCATTGGTTTCGAATGAGGGTTTTCCAATTCCTCTAGGTTCACCCTCCGTGTCCACCAACCCGGTTAAAGCGTCGGAGATTCACTTTTCGTCCTCTCAATTTCGTAGACAACAGTACGCCACGAGAAGGCAATGAGTAGGACTTGTGTGGCAGTGGCTGTATGCACGTGGCCATGTGAGAGCATTTGGAGAAGGATAGTTGACTCTCCGCACTCTCGGCCGTGCTAGGGCATTTAGAGGCCTAAGTCACAACTCTTAAAAGCGTTTCAAGAAAACTCAAGAAGCAACTTCAACACTTTCTTTAGTTTCCCATAAGCACAACAGGTTTAAATCGTGAATCGAAAATTATTGCACAATGTTTTCAAATCTTAAAACAACATGATACTCCATTTGTACACTATGCAAACTGTTTAAGTTACCAAGTCAAATGTGCACATTTCAATCTACCCATGTAATGCATAATTGGCTTGCATAATTTTATCCACCTTCGAAATGTTTTAATTTTGGACATATCGATTAGAAACATGAACATTAAGGTGAAGTAAACACTACTACCATCTGTAAATTAATTTAATGTATAATGTTGAAAAAAGTACATCATCATATGACACAAAAAACAACTAATTATGATATTCAATTATTCGACTAATATTGACGGATCAATATATAGGTCATGTTCACGGATCTATTAATATGTAGTTAGGATTCGTACTCTCAATGTGTACACTTTTGGATCTACCCACAAAAGAATGTCGCTCATTATGAACAAATGATTGGCATCGAAAATAGATGACAGTGGTCTAATGGTTAAGCGATCACGCGCGAGACTGATGAGGTCCTGGGTTCGAATCTAGCGAGGTGGGATCGTGGATGCGCACTGCTAAGGAGTCCCACAGTAGGATGAAACGGCCGTCCAGGTCTAGCTTCAATTGACTCATGATCTCAACTATTAAGATGACATTTAGTCAATTTATTTAAGAAATTTTGTCGATTAAGTTAATTATAATTAATGACAACTAGAACTATCGAATAAACAAAATATAAAACATAGTTGGATTGGTATTCGGAGCACAGTTTGAAACTTCGATATTGAGCTGTTTGGTATTCATTGACAAGAATTATTTGAAACTTGAAGAACAAAAATCAATACTTCATTCCGTGGATTTGTTGAGGTTAGAAATTAACACCATTAGATGAGTGCAGGATCATGGATACGCGCAGCTGAGGAGTTCCATACTAGGAGAAAACGGTCATTCAGTGCTTCCAGGTTTTTAATGGTGGCCTTCCATCAATCGATCCATGATCCCAATCAAAAGCTTAACAATCGCCACAACCCCATATATAAACTCCCGGAAGTATATCGATCTCATATGCTCTACATTTAGAGATGAACCTGTGACTATCTCACCAGATAGGCTAATTTCTTCATAGAAAAATAATTGATAGATAAACAAATATTGTACCTAAAAATTCTTCAGTTCAAATAAATTGTGAGATACAGAGTTTCATTTCACCACAGCCTCCTTTCACTTAACCCTCAACGAAGCTTGATGTGGTTTTCAAGTTACTTTTGGATATGGAAGGCAAGTGAGTTCATCTAAGACACCATTGTGTTAAAAAACAATTGTCTAAATCCTTGAGATAACTGTTAAACATCAAGGACTGATTTGAGTTACGGGACCAAACCAAAACGTGGTATCAGTCCACAAAGTCACCAACTTCTAGTCTGATTCATGTTAGTAGATATAAACTACTTGGTTGGGGTCCATGTGACCATCGTAACCAATCGTTGGAGACTCTGGATGACATGGCTCAGAATCGATCACAATGGTGTGGGTATATACACTCCCCTGTCTTCCCTCAAGCTATGAGATCGAAGTGACTTTATATCTCTCTTTCCACGAACTAATTCGTTATTACTGTATTATATCCTTATATGAAATCCTTTGTATATTACTACCATCAAAGTAACTAATTCTATGAATTCGGTGTTCATCTTACTGTGCTAATGAGTGAGATGTGTCAACTTGAACCGATACATATTTGTGCCTAGTCCTACGTTTTAGCTGACTGACTGACTGGTAAAACTATTGAAAATTTAGAAGTTCCAGATATCTGCTTTTTCCTAGTACGAAATGTCTCAGAAACGCACATCAACGAGGTCAATAATAGTTTACAGCTTCTAGTGATATGTTTTGAAAAGGATTTCACAGGCATATGTGATTTGATGGTGTATACTTATTTTCTTAGTTTCTTTTAGTTGTCAAGTTGCTGTTTTAAATATATACTCAAACTAATAATTATACGACATGGAATGCAAGATTTACGACTGAAAACCACCTGCAAAACTTAGGATTTATTTGACAGAACATCTGAGTCTTAGCCATTTATTTATTTGTTTAAACACATAAACATTGGTACAAGTAGGCACCAAAGAGATATGCGCCACATAAATCATTTGATTTATGTGAGAGCTGGGATACTGCCCGCTTGCCCAAACCGAGGCAAGTGATTTTCTTAGGGAGTCACTCCTCAAACCTTTGACCAAAAGGTCTGATCCACTGGGCAGTGGAGCAATGTCAGGAGATCCAGTCCCATGGTAGCCGGTCACCAACAATAGGTTCATGAGCAATTTGTTCCCTCAGCATCCTGGAGCCAGCCCATGTATACCATTGTTTTGGAGTCGGGGTTTTCCAACTCCACTAGGTGGATCCTCCATATTCACTAACCTGGTTAGTGTCG